GGGACCCCCCGGACCCGTTTGCCAGCCAATCGCAGGGCACACAGAAACGAACAACCATTCGCACTCACACAGGAAGGCCGTAGCTGGAATTGAACCCGGTACCTCTGCACTTTGAAGTCGACGTGCTAACCACTCGACTACCAGGCTGGTGAATACATGTGGCGTCACATTAATCAAATTGAATAGGTGTGATCGTGGTGACGTTGTTTGTTCCTTTTTCTATATTTTCACATTTTGAACCACTGTAAAACCAGTGGCCAAGCCTCGCCAGTCGTGAAATTTTATTGGAAAATTCAACACACTTTGAGTGAGTACTGGGCAGTCAGTGCAGGGTTGCACACATCAATTGATCCTGTCCAAATCGCACCCTATTTGATTGATTCCTGTGTGATAATAATAATAGTAATAATAATAAAATAATAAGAATAATAGGGCGACGGCCCGGTGATTGAGTGGTTAGTGCGTCGACCTGACAGTGCAGAGGTACCGGGTTTCGATCATGGCTCCGGCCTTCCTGTGTGGAGTTTGCATGTTCTCCCCGTGCCTGCGTGGGTTTTCGCTGAGTACGCCGGTTTCCTCCCACGTTCCAAAAACATGCATGGCCCCGGGTATTCCGAACACCACCAAACATTCATGTCCTGCCGTGCACCAGTGTGAGTGACACTGGAGGGAAAGTGGGTGACGTTTTTTTGCCCAAGGACAGACTTAAAATATATGCATGAGGAATTATACTTGCAGTGGTCACTCCATTCTCCCAGGTATAGAGTATATTAATATGAATAAAATAATATGAATTATAGTCCTCCACCCACTTTTGTTGAACCCTCTCATGCACCCTGTACCCTGATAACATGGTAAGCTGTCCACTGTAGTAACCGCTGTCCCTGAAAGGGTTAAATCTTAGTACATAAGGAAATTAGGAGAAGACCTCTTCCTGGTAGTGGCTAACAGGTCAGATGGTGAACTTGTGTCGGCAGCGCCAAACGAACCAGGCTACACAAGTTGAAAGTCATTCGTTCTTGTCTTCCTGCCCCTGTTCACCATAGAGGATTTGCCAATTTCCTCTGCACTTAAAAGGGTTCCGTCATATGGAGGCTGAAGCAGTCCAGAAGGAGCTTGATGATAAATGCACGAAAGCTGTTGCCTGAAGCCCACTAGTAATGTGAGGACTTTGACTGGCAGCAGTATTGTGGTTGTCAGTTCCCCAAGGAGCCATCTTTGTCAATGAAAACTGGAGTTGTTCCTTATGAAGAGAGCTCCGTCAAAATAGGGGACGGGCCTGGCATAGAGAGACAATATATGGGAGCTATTTTGTCATAAAACATGTCTTTCAGCGACAGCACTGTGACTGTCACAAATTGTCGGTTTGGTCAGTCGTCTGCCTTTCCTCTGACCACAACTTTATAAGCAAGGCAGCGCAGGGGGAAAAGGACTGCGGTAAAATTTGGGCAAGACCTGGAAATACAGCAGAATATCAATTTGTGGGCATGGCAAATCCACAACTGCATCCACCTTCAGTGGAAGCAGAAGTAGAATTTTTGTGATGTGACGTAGATGATGGTGGAGAAACGTGTGAATATTGCTGCAGACTTTGAAGCTGGCAACAAAATTCCAAGGCAGATCTCGCAGCACAATGCACAGGTCGCCCACACAGTTTCATTCCAATTGAATGGCCACAAGAGCGTGCATGAGATGCTGATTTTGCGAATATTTTTGTTCAGCATTTTCACAGCCTATCACAGCTGCTTTCTCAAACAACAGAACAAACTTTACACTGCATATTTATTAGTCTCATGTCTGACAGGGTGGCCTGGTGGTGGAGTGGCTAGCGTGTCGACCTCACAGTGCAGACGTCGTGGGTTCGATCCCAGCTCCGGCCTTCCTGTGTGGAGTTTGCATGGTCTCCCCATACCTGCGTGGGTTTTCTCCGGGTACTACGGTATCCCTCCCACGTTGCAAAAACATGCGTGGCAGGTTCATAGATCACTCTAAATTGTCCCTAGGTGTGAGTGTGGCCACGGATGGTTGTTCGTCTCTGTGTGCCCTGCGATTGGCTGGCAACTGGTTCAGGGTGTCCCCTGCCCACTGCCTGAAGACAGCTGGGATAGGCTCTGGCACCCCCTTGTGAGGATAAAGCAATTCAGAAAATGGATGGATGGATTTGTGACACAATTGTTAGTGAAAGTACAAATGGAAGTATTGCGTAAAAAGAAGGCAACAAGACTCATCCGTAGCTTAGACAGTACAGGCTGGAGTTGAAAATTACTTTTTGCCTTAAAACGTATGGGCATAGAAATGACACATTCGATGATTTGACTGTCATCATCAGTTATCATTGTTGATAATTAAGTGTAACAAATATAGTCATTCTCAGTAGGATAACTTAAACAATCTCTTTGCTTTTAGTTTGAGGTTTATGAGGACGCCGGAGTGTAATGCTTCAGTTCATGTAACTTCCAGATCTCAGATTTCTTATCTTAATGCTCAATTATTGAGGCAGGCTCTTTTTTGGGGGGGCGGGGGGCAAAAGTAAAACCCCTGCCCCTTATTTTTGAAGAGGGCCATATGTGTGCTCGGCGATAAAAGTGGCACATCTGTAATGAGTTTGGCAATGCCATTTAAGTGGAATCTTCGCGCAGACTTTACGAAAAACAAGTTTATTAAACAGGGGCGTAAGGTAAACATGAGAATGAATGAAGATGGTTAATTCTGGGTGGCACGATAAAGCTAGATGCAAATTCTGTGTGGATAACCAGACCTTCTGCTCCGGACTATTGGAAGGTGCCAGGCTACTGTTGCGAGTTGACGGTTGTGAGCAGCAATCCAGGCCAGGCCCGCCCTCGTATCCTACCAAATCTGGTGAGCACACCCACACACACAAACGTATGTGTACACGCACACACAAACGTTTGTGTACTCTATTTTTATTCCAATAGTGCATAAGTATGAGCACACACTTATTTGACACTTCATATTGTCAGTGTAGAAAGAAAAAAAGGGAAAGAAATTGCGAAATTTACGATCAGCATTCACTTTCACTTACATCAATGTCTTGGATAATGTCTTTTATTTTGCTTGCTCCGTCTTTCATTTTGATCACTTTTACCCTCTCTTCCAGCATCAGAGCTCTTGTCTTAGCTGCTTGACATCAAAAGGTCCGTTTTGTAGCCATTTTAGCAATGCAATGTCCATCCTCGTCTGAATCTAACAATAAAAAATACTTCCTGTCATGCAATGAACGGATGCTACAGATCTAGCTTCAGTATCTACACATAGACAGTGAGGTCCCTCTTGGCCAATCGGAGGCCAGGATGATGCTCGGTAAGCCAATGGCAGAGCAGCTATGAGTATGTTACGTCCAGGAAACTCGCAGCTGTGACCGAAATAAACATCGTTCACTATGTAAAACAGTGTGGTGGTTGCTGTTGCCTTTTTTCGAACCAAGCAGTAGAGGTCGCTGTTGGATAAGACTGAGTTGTAGTGAATGTCTTCGCGAGGCTGGAGCAGAGAAAATGATTTCGTATAACGCAACAGGGGGGTTTTCGTCGTATGGGGGGCAGGAGAATGGGAATTGTGTTAATGCATGAAGATTTTTTCACATAAGGGGGTATTTTCGCCCATGTAGGTTTCTTTCTAGAGGAGTTTCACTGTAGTTTGTTTATACAGTATTTTACATATTACTTGCTCTCTTATTAAATTTGAATTCAGTTTATGGTGTAAAATATTTTGAAAATGCTTTTAAAATAGTTGTTTTCTAGACTTGCAACGGATTACAGTTTTTACATTGATTATAATGGGAAACATGGTTTCGGTTTTCGAACAAATCGGTTTTCAAACAGCCTTCTGGAACGGATTATGGTCGAAAACCGAGGTTTGACTGTATTTACATTAAGGATTTAACCCAATGCATTAATCACATTAAACGTGTTTTATTTAAACATCACCTGATCAAATCAATAAATAATCATTTAAATCAATTCCAACCACAGGGCAGGCTATGTAAATGAAGTGGCAAAAACACTGTCAACTCACATTCCTGTGAATCTCGCAAAGTTTCAGTTCATTGCTATCTTTGGGTTCTTTTTGAAAGCCCAAAACTTTGTGATCGTGACAAAATCTCACGTGATGCGAGGAGTCACTTAAGTTGATGGGGAAAAGACATTTTAAAAGGATTGATTGAAGAAAAATACATTTTGATTTGCTGAATATTTTTTATTTATTTTTTTATTTTTTAAGCAGCCCTAATTAAGACCATCTGTGCAAGTGGTGCCCATTACGTTGATCGCGATCGACCGGTAGCTCGCGGACTAGTCCCAAGTTGATCGCAAGCTATGGGAGGAGGAAATTTGAGGGGAAGATTTTTGTGTCTGTTGTGTTTCAGTTTCTTTCATGTTAGGGGCCGTTCCGTCTGTTGCTCATTGTGGCGTGCGTCCGTGCAAATGT